TTTTGTGTGGGATGTGAAAGATTTTTATCAAATGTATATGATCTAATATTTTCTCGCATTGCTTCTTATAAATGTTTGTCGCATAGCGTCAGGTGTGAAGAGACCTTTAGTCATGCTTTGTGATTTTTAGCCTTCTCATCCTCAAATTAGTCTAAATTTTAAATAAACTTCTCAACAATCTCGTCGAAGAAATTAACACTGTTTTCAAAAAGTTCTAGTCAGTAATCCACGCGCTCATCACATGAAATGAAAAGACAATACAAACGTTTGAATTAAAAAAAGCCTATAACAATGTATTATATTTAATTTCTGTTAGAATTAGGTGGAGATTTATTTATTTGGACGTATGTCATATTATCATGCTACAAGCAAAAGTACCCGTCCCCAGTGAAGGGAAAAGTTTAAGTTAATCTATCTAGTTAATCTATTTAAATTATTTCATGGACTTTAAACAGGTTGATTGTGTTGCATTCTTGGTTTCACTCAGAGACAAAGCTCTAAGCTACAATTTCTAGTTGATATAATGGCTCATCAACGATAATATTTGGCAAATACACTAGCTATTATCGTGTAGTTTATAAAAGCTGCCAAAGTAGGGATTAAATTTTATGAATTTGTGATTGTGGTTTTAATGCTTGTTTCATTACTTTTTGTAGCAGGATCCCTACTTCGTTTTAAAATTCATAATTTTTAATACTCTTGTTTGTTTACTTTTTACGTTATACCTGAATAAGGTATATAACTTTACCTTTAGAAACTGTCGCGTGTCTATCCATCGATATGTAGCGCCATCCATTGGGTTGAATAGTGTTGAAAAGATATTTAAGTACGTGCTTGATATGCTTACCATTTATATTATTTTTGTATATATATATAAATTTTTATCGGAATATCAAAAGCGGATACCCACAGACCAGTCAAATAAGCTGGAGAAATCTTGTAGCGATAGTCAGAGCCGTCTAGGCGCTAGCCCTGCTGATGTAATCAGGTAAGTAGGAAGTAAACGAAGAAGTTGCTGTCTTAGAAATTTTTGAATTGTTATACCGGAAATGTTCGCGACCTTTTTAGCGTATTTTTAGTATACATGCGCATAATATATCGTAACCAATACTTTGAAAGGTCTGTTTTTCGCTTAGGAATTCGATAGGGTGGTTTTTCGCCGCGTGAATTATGTGGAATCCTTGTCGATCCCTACTATCTAGTACTACAGTACTTAAAATACGTTTCATTGTAGTGGAATCCTGCATCGATCATGAGATCTTTATAAAAACAGTTTTTGCATCTTTCTAATTTTTTAAAGATTAATTTTGAGTTATCAATGAATATGAATCTATCAATTGCTTGATGAATAGATTTAAGTAATTCATAATTTTTTTCCTGTTACATGATTTGGGGAAATTATTAGTACTAGAACGAATTTTTTATTGCACTTCAAGGTCCTTGTGATTACATTGTTTATAACTGAAAAAGTCATGGGACAATGATTTGAGTGTGTGAGACCTTTGTATTGAGCATTTTCCTTTCATGAGATAATAATTGCTTGTATCAAACGTTTGTCCTAAATTTGATTATTGTTGAAATAACCGTTTGGGTAAAAGGAAGTAATGAATATTCTCGCTACAAAAATAGATTTTGACTCATGAGAAATTTCGCTCTTTCTCTCAATCAAATATGACGTTCTTGTCTAATTAGTATTAGAAAAGTCACATAAGATATTCACAAAAATTGAGAAAAAAAGTTTTGTTATTTCTTTTAATTGCGATATCCCAACATAACTAAAAAGTGTGATTATAACTGTATTTTTTTTACCTAATATAATCATGGCATGATCGTGAAACCTATAAAAAATTTACAGTGTGACAATATTAAAAACTGTAAATTGATTAATTTCCAGTAGATACAAAAGCGGTAAGCAAGCAACTGTCCTAATGAAATACAGTTTACCAATTCACAGTGACGTTATGTTGTTGATATTTTGATTTATCTTTTGTGTCTACCTTTATTTATTGCAGTATTGTATATAAAAAACATGGCTCTTAAGATCGAAAAGGAGATGATAATGCGTATTAATAACAGTTATTTTTATAGAATTGGTTTCAGTTTTAACCAGTATAGTTTAATATGGAGTGTGATTGAAAAAAATGAGTTATTTTGTTTAAATTCAGAAATAAGTATTTACTCTTAAATTGAGCTTGTCACAACTTTTTTTCTCTCTTAAATTTTCTCTTGGTGGGTCATGGGTCATCGGTAAGTTTACGGACTTTTTAATACACTAAAATCTGGCATTCTAAAACAAATTTGCATTTAATTTTGGTGCAATAATCATAATTTGAGCTTTATATATTGTCTCTTGAATCCCAATATTTACGTTTCATAAACTGCGACAAATTATAAATTCTCATTGTGTTATTTTCTTGTACGAAAATTTATAATAACTTTGTTTACATATGTGGGCTAGAGACTATCGCACTAATATGCAAAAATGTTTATTCTGTCCCCATCTTTCGCTTCTTTAAAAAAGAGTGTGTTCTATATAAATAGTTTGCACATATTTAATTAGAAACAAACTTATAAAATCAGGATAGTTTTTCCATGCCAACCAATTTTTGGACTTGGGCAGTCTAATAAAAATTGTTACATAAAATAAATAAGCAATTTTCAGTGATGTAAAATGCTTAGTTGTGATTTGAAAAAATAAATAAATATGACGTCATTTGAATTATAATCGATATCAGTCTCACTGTGATAATTTAGGTTTATCTAGCCTGTAGGCCTACATTATCACTAGATAAGTCTAACTAGGCATATACCGCTTAGAAGATGACAAATAAATACTAAAGTTAGACCTAATTTTTAATAGGCCTAAAATGCTTACTGTTTTGTAAAAAAGTAAATATTTAATTTATAGCTTAAGGTTTATTTCATAATGTTACCTGTTAGGTGACACCACAATAAGCTAATTTGACTAACGTTAATATTAAGCCTATTTTAGGTTACACTTAAGACGCTTCTTTTATCTCTGGATATGAAATAGGTATTGTTCTTCATGTTTTAATATCAGATTCGACAGTTTTTTTTTTACATTAGTTATTTCTTAATGACCAACAAGATATGGCAAACCTTACATGTTTATATTACGTGAAAGATTTTCTACTCACTTAGGTTTAGTAAAGTTTTAAATTTCATGTACATAATTTATATCTAGATTTAATTTGAAATAGCTACCACAGTACCAGCTACTGTGACTAAAAAATATTTCACTTAAGCCAGTGTTTTAAACTAAACTTTTCCTAACTCAGCAAAGTATTCCTTGCGTCCCCGTCACACCGAACATGCCCTTTCAAACATGAGGGCGTTATAAAGTTCGGTCAGTCCCACTACTCTTTGGTAAAAGAGTTAGTGGTGGGTGGTGTTGAGTAGCTGCCTTCCCTCTAGTCTATCCCTGCTAAATTAGAAAAGGCTAGCGCAGATAGCCCTCGTATAGCTTTGCGCGAAATTTAAAACAAACCACACTAAAACTGCTAGTACTAAGCCCATATCGTTACTCACAACAACAAACTTAAATACACCTAACAGTCCTACGAAATATAACTTTAGGCTTAAAATATTAAATCAAACTTGAAAGATATCTATGGGGTTTTGAATCCTTTTTACTTCACTATACAGTAACCTAAATTAATTTAGGTGTGTGGATAATGCTATGACATTTAGTCAAATTCATGACTATACGACGGACCAATTGTTTAATAATTATATATATGTGTGTGTGTTATAGATTTCTGTTCTTTTTTTTTCATCAGAAGTGAAATTGAAAAGAGAGTTTGTGACTTAGAGGCCAAATGGTTCCTTGATTGGTAGTATCTTCTGTTGTGGTCTGCAGTTTTGCCTATTCAAGGCTCATCAACACAGCTTGGGTCAGCATTAGGCTTCTTATGGTGGTGAAGTGATTATAATATCTATGGGGTTTTTGAGTTATTTCACCATACAGTAGCCTAAGTTAATTTAGGTTTGTGAATAATAGTATGACATTTTGTTGAATTCATCATTCCGTATTATACAACGGACCAACTACTTAATGGTGAAAAAGAAAATAAATCTTGAACATCTATATAAATTTGTAAGAGTTTTGTGCCACTTCATATGAAAGTGAAATCAAACATATAACTAGAAAAGTGAAGTAGCAGACGATTTTCGGCTAGCAGACGACTCATGTTGAAGAGCTGAGCATGCGCACTTTGAAATCGATTATGGGAATTTCAGTATTTTGTTGAGGTTTCGACTTTCTTTTTTAGAAATAAAATCTTACGTCGTCGCTACCAAAAAAGAAAAAAGATCGGTATTTTGAATTTAATCGCTGTAAGATACATGAATTGAATGTAGTGAATTTGAAGATAAAAAAAATCTTCGTAAGATCTCTGCCGCGCCGAACGGAAATCCAAGATGGCGCAGACTTCTGGTACCAAGGGATCCAAGTCCTTAGAATATCCTATCTATAGGACGAACTAGGTCGTTGCACTAGTGTGTGACGACTTTTTTCATTATTAAACAAATTATGTGTGACTGAATAGAAAGTTTTGTATTATGAACTAATTATTGCAAGTCTTGTTAAAAAAATTATAGTTTTATATTGGTGCAAGATTAGTCTAAGTTCCTTTTTGGTTTACAGACAAACAATTGATTTATAGCATTTTAGTAAGTGTTTACATACTCTAGATTGTTGTTATGGTGTAGTCATTTTTTTTTACCAATTTATGACGAAGCAGCTTCTGTTTTTTAAAAATGGCAAATCAATTTTTATTTTGCTGAAGTGTTCCTACTTTGTTGTAGTTGTTCGTGTAGGAGTCCTGTTTTAGTAAGTGTTTCTTTATTGTTGATATTGAAGTATAATTGAACTATTTTTCTGTGTTATTTGAGAGTCTTTCAGTTGGATACGGAGTATAATAATGGTGTCAGTGTCCTCTTTCTTCATTATAATTGAGAAGCATTGTTTGATCTTGCAGGAATTGACCCTGACAGATGACACTGTATTAGAGGAGCACAGTGAAGACCCTTGTCTAGTGCAAATCAAACTGATTGGTGAAGGAAGTGAGGATTGATTATTTTCTGTTTAAGATCACTTAAATTAACATAATTTTTTTGTCATTTGTAAAAAAAACAACAAAAAAAACGAATGTTATGAATGATGGTGGTAAGAAATTACTTGCGAGTTTAGGTAAAGAGTACTGGTAAAAGTAAGGATTTTTATTTATCAGTTAAATATTGAGGTGTAAAAGTATTATTTATTATAAATCTTTGAAATAGTTAGCAAATAAGGGAAATAATGTTGTTTTAAATGATAATCCAGATCTTTTATGCAAGTAAAAGATCTGGATTTTCATTTAAAACAACAGCAAGAAAGATATAATGAAAGTGCTTTGTTTGAAATTTGTTACAGTATTAACTGTACTGCAATATAATTAGAAAAAAAGACAATAATTATATTATACAAACCAATGTATAATTTTTAGCAAATATTTCTGATTTAACAAATCACATAACATAGTTTTAACTGTGATATTATTGCTTGGTAACTGAAACAACAATTATTCTTTGACTGAAATTAACTAGACTAGTAAATTAAAAAACATACAGTTAAGGTGCTGCAATGAATAGGATGAGAGAATTTGTCTTGACTGTCTTTTTCTTGTGTTAAACAACTATACATAATAGGTTCTACAATATTTTAATTAATAGTGGATTTAGTAATAGTTGAATATCTGTAAAATTCAGATCAATACTAATTGTACTACCCTAATATATTAAGAATGTATGTAACTTTATTTAACATTGGTTGTAGTACTCTATTAGTATTTCTGCACAAACTTGGAAATCTGACTTATAAATATTGGGAACATATTAAGGTATTATTACTTTGGAAACATCAGGATTACAATTGGCCTGGGGTCTATCAAAACATATTTTGCAATTATTTGGGAACATGAAAAACTTCAATCCTTGTAGCAAATATACTAGACTCTGACTGATTATGTGCAAAAACTAACACTCTGATTTGTGGAAAATAGCAGGCTATGACGTATTTCAACAACTTTAGCTTATTGTAATGAAATATTGTCATACTACTCTTCTCTCTGTTACTAATTGTTTATGTTTGTTTCAAATCATTTATTATGGTGATATAAAAACTGTCATTTCTCGTTACAGATCCTTACTGTTATCAATATAACACAAAAACACACACATTACATGGACAAGTGTATTACGGTTATTTAGAAACTTCACTAGATACTGATAGATATTTTTCTTTCTCCTTGTTGTGCAGTCGTGGAATCGATTTTGAAAGGTGAAAACATTGGCATTACCCCCAGAAGACGAGCTTGTACTCAAAATAACCAGCATAATACGGTATGTAACGACAGATGTTATCAAGTAATGTGTTTCTTGCAAATGTGGCTTAATTTCGTTAAAAATTGATCAGATATTTTAGAATAGCTGTGTTGGAAGTTTTCTTATTAATTTACTTTTTCTGACGTATTAAAAGCAGTTACTTAATTCTGTCAGCTCACTGCAAGGAATATTGCAAAAAAAAAAAAAAAGAACAGAAGCTTTATATAACTTTCAGTTTTCTTCCCTACTACAATTCCGTATGTAGATGCAAAAGGAGGGTTTTCGCATTCCATCGTTAGTCCCACGCATAAGCAGTACAGGTGTAAACAACACGGCGTCACAGGAAATTAAAACTCGCGTTTAATTTGTAAGCGGCAGATAAGTTTTGGGGCCGTGTATAAATCAGTGCTTCGTATGCGCAATGGCGAACGACAAGAGTCGCAATAGGTGGGGAGATGTTGTTAGTGTTTGAGCGATCCTCATCTCACATAGCTCAATTCACCATGGTAACCTCTCACAAACTGTACCATGACGCTGTAAGCGAAAACAGCTTTGTAGCTGTTGCCTAGCGCTGGCTTTTGATGAAACAAATTCTATACCGCGTTGGTCAGTGTTGAAATCTCGTCATTCTCGTGTGATCACGCAGACATTTTGAGATAAACAACAACCGTTACCAGACCTTCGACGGAAAACATATAGAACTTTATAATCGTTGTTGTTCAGTCTCAGACAATATAGTTTTTCTACCATAGTTGGCACACACAAACCATTTTTTTCTTTATTTTCCTTCCGACAGTTTCATTTCCTTCAACCAGATTAATAGCTAATCAGAAATAACATCGTTTTAATACAGATCGCTGCCTTACTCGAAGGTTTTGCCTTTTCAGGGCCATTACACCAGGACCCGCAGTCAGGTTGGCTGTAGTTTTAGCAACAGTCGTTTCACAACTGCCGCCATCTCTAAGAAGCTCCGTCCGCTTGCTAGCGGCGAAAAAGGTAAAGAAATATGACATTTTGTTATAAACACATAATGTTGATATCATATGATACTAATTTAAAATTGCTATATTTCATGTAAGATATAACCATTTACAGGATCGTTAGATTACTCTTTGGCGACTTATCAAAAACAGTGGCAGCAAATGGAGCCATCGTAGAAAAACGTTACTGACCGAAGTGTGATTGTAAAAATTATGTGTTCACTTAGAATAATGTGATGAGCATACTGTAACAGATTTTTTTGTGTATAATGGTGGCTGCTGTTTTACTACCGCATAATATGTCCTGAAGTTTCTGACGTGATCTAATATCAGTTATTCATGGTTTATAGCAATAAGAAGTACTAGCAATGTGAACTCTAAAATTAGTTCACTGACCTTATTTAGAATTTATTAATGTATTTGTGACACTGCATAGAAGTTAAGCGGGTAATTATATTTGTTTAGTAACGGTTTATTTAGATTGTATAGCAACCAGAATCTGGCTTAACTTTGAAGGAAGCCATTGTATGTTATTTAATTCAGAATTTATTTAGTGTTAAATTTCTAGGCACGAATATTTAAAAACAGTAAGCCTTAATTAAAATGCTGCTTAGACTACGATAGAATTCTATATTTAAACCTTAAGACAATCTTCAGTAGAGGCTGACATCTACCACAACAAATGATGGGTGAACAAGAGAGAGAGAGAGAGAGATGAAACGGAAAATGCTACCTTCTACATTATAAGTTTGCTCATTAATGAAATACTTATATCTGTATTAGTATATGATGTTCTTGTGTTTTGTGTGTGTGTGTGTCTGAGTTTGAATTTAACAACCTACTCTTTGCCATTCCTGGCTCTAATTGGTCCAGTCAGCTATATCTGTCTTTATATTATAGGTAGTTTTTATTTTGTAGATGATCACTTTATTAAATATTATTTAAAATAAATTAAACACATTTTTTTTTAAATTCGTATGACAGTTTTAGAAAATGGTTTCTACAATACTGGAAACTTCACTAAAACTATTTTTAATTCACATAATTCAATTTGTGTTAGTTCTTAGCTATATATATTTATATAAACGTACTAAAATGTATTATTAGTTCACTTTTAATGAAGACATCGTTATTACAGAAACATGTGCATTGTCAGTAAATTGTTCAACATGTCGTTACTGAGAATAATAGGCATGTATCAGACGTGAATAATATGTAATCAGTATGAAAGGCCAAATTGTATTTGTTTAGAACCAAACGTTTACTCTTTTACGTTATACATTACATGTGTGCCCCAAAACTTGGTATTAATCCGTAATTATGATGAAAGTTTAGCCCTGAATCACTTAGATTATTCTTTACATGTAATGTGTGTTTATGGTGATTTTTGGAAGCAAATAAAAGACAAATTCTGGGCGCAAAACGGAAAATATTGTAGCTATAACCTAGTCATTGTCGTAAAAATGATTTTATTTTTCATATTAATGCGGTTTTATGTTCTTTGTTCTTCAGACAAAAAAAATAAACCTTCTTTTCATGAAGTGACCTGTTGAAGTTAAAAACATTTTCTTGAAACCTGACCTTCATCTTCTGAATAATTTCTTGCGTTTTCAGTCAGTTTTAATTCTACCATCTGTTTTTATAGTTGGTGTTTAAAATGTGCGTTTGAGATATGTACATTGCTGGTTTTTAACGTGACCCTGTTCATGCGAGATAAAGATCTGTGTTCTTAGTTCTTCGGATATCCTAGGTCACGTGATGTCTACGCTGTCTATTGTTCAGATCAACCTTTGTCACGTGGAGTAGGCTCTGTTTTCCCTTCTCCAGACTAAGGAGTATTGTTGATTCTGTTATTCAGATAACCTATTTTGCATTTTATACTATGCGTAGTCACCTTAGTGGGGGGTCCGCTTTTTTTTGAATATTGAACATACTTATGATAAAGATTTTATCTTTCACTTATATATATATATATATATGTGTGTGCATTAAATGTTTTATTGACTATGAAATATAGTTGTGGTGTAAAGATAGATTGTATTTATTAGGTTTTCATTACTTTAGTTAATAACGATTCCTCTGTATTCCTGCTAAATTACGTGTAGTTCTATGAACTCGTATAAAATACCCTGGATTGGTACCTGATGATGACAAAACCTTGTCGAAACGTTGTACATTTGCTGTTATGTTAAACTTATATTAAAGTTTTTCTTCGTTACCCATTCAAGCCGTCTCTAGCCATTATATATTCAGAATGTTTTGAGCTAACTTGAGTGTTAACAACGCTGGATGGATTAAAATAGTGCGAGAAATAAAGTTTTCAATCATAAATATCCCTCTATGCCTATAAATACATATAAATATAGATACAAAATGATAATACTTTACGTGGATAACACAATAAAACACCCTTGCACTCTTTAAATAGTCTTTTATTCGAATCAAATCGAATTGTCTCATTACTTGTAACGCAATATTTATAGCTTTACAACATTTTCCAACTTACGATTCGAATAAATGCATTAGTATTGAAGGTGTTCAAGGGTATTTATATATATAAATTATTCGTATTAGACTTATAAATATATGTACAACCCAAAATTTTCTGTTAGTTGGCATATTTTTTTCTTCTTTCTTACAAATGTGATAGAAACTAAATTAGTCTCTAGATATTAATTTTCTCTTAAATGGAAATGTTACATTATATTTCCTTTTATTACATTCTAACAATACGGGGAGTAAAAGTATTTGCAGAATTTTGTGCAAAGAGGTAAAGATATAGAATGTAGGATTTTTATATTATTTTATTATTTATTTATATATGTTTTATTTTAATACGTTTACCAGTTTTCTAATTATAAACTGTAAATTCATTAACTTTTTAATCTTTGGCGTTTCCAAGAGTTGAGAAATCATTTAACAAAGCCTTTGTGGGCTTAGTAAATATGCACAAATGCATCAGCTATTGTTTATTCAGACTAGGCTGATCTTTGGTTAGAGAGAAATTGCACCTTTAACCTTTATTGAAATGTTACAAAATCTCTGTGTTTAGACACAGACAGTTAGGTTTTCAGTATTATATCGTTTTAGTTCCATCAGATACGATTTTTTTAAAGTTAATGTGAGCTGTATCATGGAAGTAAGAACACCACGCACTTGCTCATATGCTTATATTGTAAAACATATATACGTATAGCATTTAAAAACGGTATTACATTAACGTAAGAGCTCATCAGTATATATAATTAGATTTGTGTGTGTGTGTGCATGCAGCTACATATCATTGGGGTAAGTTAAAAAAAAACACATAAAAGGATAGGTTTTTGAGAAAACGCAACAATCTGTTTTAGAACTTAACGGCAAGTTTTGAATACTTGTATATATATTTTTTATGAACAGCACCGACGGTTGTTTTTAGGTAATGATGGCACATTGGTAAATACCCAAACATTTTATTGAATAAGAACCTCATCTTGGTTCAGGCTTGAAGTTTTGCAGAGCGACAGTGAATTTAAAATAATTTGCTTCACTGAGAGTATTTAATGGCCTTATAAGTTAAGACCTACGTTGCTACTGAAAATAGATTTAGAGTATTAGATCAAGTGCCAAAAATGATGAGAAAATACAATGTCTATAATTAGGAGTATGTTTTTCTTATAGCAAAGGCACATCCGGCGAGCTGCCGTGTCCACCGAGGGGAATCGAACCCCTGATTTTAGCATTGTAAGCCCGGAGACATACCGCTGTCCCAGCGGGGGACCCGTAGTTAGGAACAAAAGGTGTTCGCAAGTTAAGAGTACATTTTGTGTATTACGTCGCCTTGGGTTCGGGATAATCAAAATATACTCCAATATAAAAATGTTTTTACTTATATAAAACTTGCAATATTGCCAAGTATTCAAAAATGAAATGTTCCGTTAGCTAAACTATAAGCAACGTGTCTTGTTCGTTCTCATACAGTTTACACAGAAACTAAATGTGCATGACAGAGATTAAAAGTTGTCGTTTTCTTCTTTTCTTTTTAATGAAACTCCAACAGTTATTTAAATAAAATAGGCAAATACATCCAAGTTTACTATGGTATACTACTAAGAGGTAAGATTATTTGTTTGTTGTTAAGTACAAAGCTACGCAATCGGATATATATGCACGAGGGCTATCTGCGCTAGACGTCCCTAATTTAGCAGTGTAAAACTAGAGGGAAGGCAGCTAGTCATCACCACCCACCGTTAACTCTTGGGCTACTCTTTTACCAACGAATAGTGGGATTGTCCATCACATTATAACGTCCCACGGCTGAAAGGTCGAGCATGTTTGGTGTGACAGGGATTCGAGCCCGCGACCCACAGATTGCGAGTCGAGCGCACTAACCATCCTGGCAATGCCGGGCCGAAGTTCAGGGAACGAAAATACAGTTTTTTACGAGTATCATCCAATAGTTTACTACGAAAATACAGTTTTTCACGAGTATCGTCCAATAGTTTACTCTAACAAGTTTTACAGAAAAAAAAAAATGCATAAAATTATTAAACTTTGATCATAATTACTTGATGGTGTAAAGTTGCAAGATAGAGAAACGCACATTATAAAAATCCGAGTAACAAGCATCTCACTCAGATGTGTAATGTGGTGCTTTAACAGAGATCACGTGACTTTATATGAGTTATTCAGTGATGTAGCATTAGAATTGTATGAGTTTCTTTGCTTCTAAATTCGTAATGAATCATAAAATCAAAATTCTTTATTCTAAAGTGAGTGACTTCCAGTTATTACGTGACATGCCCTTACTGACATTCATACTTATTAACGTTATGAATAAGACACCTGTCACAAAAATTAATATATCCAACCTTATAACAATTATGAGCATTAGCTCTGTGCTTATTATCATGTCTTTTGAACACTCGCAACGTTCAATAATTCAGAAGACAGGATTTAGTGTGAATAACATAATTATACTTAAACATAATTATACTTATACATAAGTTCTTGAATTTTCATAGATTATTTAACTTT